ACAAAGCAAGCCAAGGTTGAAGCGCGTTGATTCGTCAAAATCTAATCTTCAATCGTTAATCGTCAATCGTCAATTGCTAGTGTGATTTGGCCTTTAAGCCCGTATCACACTAACGATTGGCGATTGATGATTGATGATTGAAGATTAGATTTTGACGAATCAACGAGCTCCAACTTTGGCTTGCTTTGTTCCAATTGGTCAAGTTCCAATCTTCAATCGTCAATCATCAATCGCCAATCGCTAGTGTGATACGGGCTTTAAAGCCCGTATCAGGCTACGGATTAAGATTGGGATTAAATTGAAAATTGGCCAATCACAGCAAAGTTCACCAAACTTGAGTTTAGTGAATTTTGCTTTGATTGGTTAAATTTCAATTCAATCTCAATCCTAATCTATAGTCTGATATGGGTTTAACGTTTAACCTGTGGTCTATTCTTTTCAGTTGCACTGCTGAATTGATGCAATAAGTTAAAGTGAGACAAGTATATGTTTTCTCACTCTAAGGCTAAGGGCCCTTGCAGAATGCCAGGCAACAGGCAATATAGAACAGGCAATAGACAATAGGAACAAGGAATAGAAATAATTGACCAATCAGAATTTCTATTCTCTGTTCCTATTGTCTGTTGCCTGGCATTCTGCAAGGGCCTTAATATTTTACGTGTTGTACGACAAGCTTTTTGGATACGTTCATTGGTTGGCGAACATAGAACCTAGAAATACTTTATTCGCCAACCAATAAACGTATCCGAAAAGCTTGTCGTACGACACGTGAAATAGCACCCTTATTTATTGCACCAGTTCAGTAATGCAGCTGAAAAGAACAGATCACTGGCGTCATCTGTCAAATATATCCCCAACGTAATGTCGGTAGCTGACAGATGACTCGTCATTCGATTTAGTCTGTAAATAATCGTTTTCATTCGCGTATGCATTGCGTTTGATGCTCGAGCACTATATGTAGAATAATTTAACATTGGCTCAGGTGGAAATGTCATTTCTCACGAATACCTGGACATATTAATGTCATGGCGAGTTCCGTCGACGAAATAAAGGAGCCGTTCTCCATGAGCGGTAGAGGAGGTAACCTTTTTGTCTACTAATTCTTGCAACATATTATGCTGGTAATTGTTCGATTAGCTGTAATAAGTGTCAACAGCGAACTGCGTTGTAAGATGTAACAACAACCGTAAAACATGCGAAGCAGGTTGTACAGTTATTAATCTTTTCCTTTTCACACTTATTTAGGTTGCATGGCTCAGAAGGGATCTATATCCTATGAAGAAATAGCTACAAAACTTCTTGATGAGAAGCTTTACTTGACAGCTTTAGAATTGCATGCTGAACTATGTGAGGTAGGCAAGGAGCTATCAGTTCTCAGAGAATTTTTCTCAAATCCAAACAACTTTGAGAAACCTAACATCAAGCCAGAACCATATACACCCATGCGTATGTATTTCATTAATTTCAAGAAAATCTTGTAGATTTTAGGCAATAATATCTTAGAATATAAGAAAATCTTTAAAAAAATCTTAAGTATCAAGATTTATCTTTTTTCTTAACTGATAAATTTTAGTATGAATAGTCATTTTGTTGAAAGTCAAATAGATTTATATGAAAAATCCAATTAAATTTATTCATAACTACATGGACATTTTTTAAGTATTGAAAATTAATAATTTTAAGATCTACATTAATTGGTGAATATTCATGTTTCATTAGTTATCATTTGATTATAATAAGTAAATATTATTGTTGTAAATGAAGTATTATTACAGCCAGGTCTTCTAGTCAGGCAACTTTGGATTCTTTGGACATGACTCGGTACTCAGAAGATGGAGCTGGTGTTGATGAAAGAGTAGCTATTCTTGAATTTGAATTGCGCAAGGCTAGAGAAAATATCTCTGCATTACGTGCTAATCTAACCGTAGTAACAGGTATACTCATTGAAATAATAAAATATTTTTATAGGCTTGTTTACAGTGTATTTTTCGTTAATATTTTACGATAAATAATGTCGTAGAATCGGAAGGTACATTAAAGGCACCTGACAAGAGTTCTGAAAAGAATCTAACTGGACTACCTATCAAACCACATGAGCAGCGAGCATTGAATTTTCTTATCAACGAGTACTTGCTGGCAAGATCTTACAAGCTTACTTCGATTACCTTTAGTGATGAGGACGAAGATCAGGATTTTGAAGACTGGCAAGATGTAGGATTAAATATTCCCAAACCTGCAGAATTATTACAGATATACAGGGAATACATGAGAGCCAATGGACACGATAAACCACCATCTGTAAGTGTCGCTGTACAAACGGACTTTGTCGTCGATGAAATCGTCGAGGAACGAAAGAATGAATTTCACGAAATGGTTTGTTACTCTCGTTTTGTAAAGTTTAAGATACGCTTGTGACATCTAATTTTTTCATTCTGAAAATCTGGAATTTTTATATTCCTTGTAGGCAGAACAGATTGAAAGATTACAACAACAAACAGCAGTATTAGAACAGGAAAAAGCTGCTCTTCAGGAAATAATATCATCATCTAATGAAAATGCAATAGAAAATCCAACTAAGGTATGTTAATTAATAATATGATGCTGTGTAATATTTTCGATAATAATAATAATCGATAACAGTTTGAAAGTTTAGATCCACAGAAATTGTAGATAAATTGTCTTTCGTTGATTAAATTATAATAATTTTATCATGCACTAGACGTTCTGTATAAGGAAATGTCTATATAAGGAAGAATTATCTTGTTTACAGTCTGGTAGCTGCGGAACTATTCGTACCATCAATTCCAGTTCTACAACTCCTGACAAATTTGAAATGTTAGAACCATTACCAAGAGACATATCGACTGCTACTCAGGAACCGGAAGAAGACGATAGTGCTTCCGCGGTTGTCAGTCTAGATGAAACAGATCCGGGAGACAAAGAATGGACCAGGCTACAGTTACCTAGAGTGAATATTATAGAGCGATCCTCTAGAGATGTTCTATCAACCACATCTTCCAGGTTATATATATTATTATATTTACATATTATTGAGATATTTCACCAACTGCCATTTAATAGTAAGACTTAAAAAATCAAAGATTAATAACAAGTAAACAGAACAAACAAGTATAATAGTAATATAAAACAGTATAAATAGAATGATAAAGTAGATGGTATTTTACAAATTAGCCTAATAATTAGATGTGTATATCATAATAAGTAGATTTAATTATTTTATAAAATTAATAATTTTTAGATTGTTCAATGTATATATTTTTAAACGTTGCAGAGATCTACCAACAAAGTTCAAATTAGAAGTAGCGACGCACTGTTTGGCGAATATTTCGGGATCGGTGATGTCCTCAGTAGAAGAATCGTTGAAGTGCGGAGTTACTCGGGACACATTGGTGGAGATTCTGACATGTACCTTGCCGCGTATTGTGCCTAATATCATTCTTAACAAGCGCGAGGAGATCATTCCTTTGATTCTCAGCGCGATTCATCTGCATCCGAATTCTAGTGAGAGAGAGAAATTGCTACAGCTGCTGTTTAATTTGAAGAAAAGACCGCAGGAAGACGAGCGGCAAATGATATTGGCCGGTTAGCGCATTTAAAATATGTGCAGCTTGATAATGCAGTAGTAATGAATTATGCAATAATATTAATCGTTCAGATCTAAGAAGAGAAAATTATTGCAATGTATCTTACATTGACACATTTATATTATGAAGAAGTAGTTTTAAATTAGGTTAATTAGGGTGTGTGTGTTTTAAGATAAGTAATCTGAAATAATTGCTTTCTATTGTTACATTTTCAGGTTTAATCGTGATGGTGAAACTAGCGGAAGAACCGCTAGAAAATGAAGAAATTCTGACGATCTGCTGGGAACAAAGTCAACACAAGTATCCAGAGCGGAGATTATTAGCTGTCGAGTGTTGTTCGGTACTCGCATCGTACACGTCGGCTTCCATTAGAAATTCACTGATGTTGTCTATGCTGCAGCAGATGTTATTGGAAGACAAGGATCCCGTTGTTCGGACCAGCGTTGTGAGAAGTCTCGCGTTGCTCATAGCTCTGATGGACGATCCTGACAAATATTTCCAAGTAAATATGACAAATTCTTCCATTTTATATCATTTTGTACACTGGAAATTTTTGTGATATTTGCAGTTACAACATATATTTTATTACAATAGATTACACAATTTTTTATTCTAAATCTACGCGTACATATACGTATGTGTGTGTATTATCGTAGTGCGAGGAACTAGCGTTAACAGCGCTCCATGACACGTCGTCGATGGTCATCGAAACGGCATCCTCAGTGTTGTTACCGGTGTTGGCACAGTGGGCGTTATCCTTGAAGAGATTGCATCTGAATCTGCTGCCGCGCATAATCTCGAAAGTAAAGAACCAACTGAAACTCACGCACTCGCAGAATTCGCCGAACAAGGACTACATCGATGAGGAGAAACTGGTGCCGTCAGTTGGTATTCTGCAATGTATCTTGCCATATATGGTCCTGTGCGTCGCCGATACCGATGCTGTGCGATCCTGCATCGAAGACGGAACCTCGTCGGACTTGCGTGAGTTACTAGAGTAATAGAATTAAGTAAATTGCAAGATGACAGGGTGACTCGCGAAGTTGCGAAATTTCACCACCATTCGCGCTTTGGAACGATGATTTTTCGGAAGTTGTAAATGAAGAGGTTCATCAAGCTGGTAAAACTTGATGAATTGCTTGATAAAATTATGAGAGAAAGCAAATAGTGATTGACGATTTTAGAATTTGAAAGAGATGATTTCTTTTCAAATTCGCCTTTTTAAATTATCCGAAATTTGTCAAGTTTTGAATTACAAAAAAAAAATTCGGAAAGAAAAATTCATAAAATAATCCTGGAGTTTGTAAAGATGTCAGAATTTTTTAAATTTGACATACAACATGCACGTGTGTGTCGAAAGATTTAAGATAAGATTTAAGAATGGAGAGTTTAAAGGTTGCAGGATTCGAAGACTCGAGAAAAATCTTGGAGTCGAGAATATTGTATTGTTTTGCACGAAGTTTATAAACTCGCACAAAAACAAAAGCGCAAAAGTTTTCTAGAAAACTTTGTGGTGCAGCCGAGGAATTTCTGGACTTGTGTCACTCCAACATCGTCGACCCGAGGGTATTCTACGAGGGTCCTGTCAATGTCGGCATTCTCCTGAACACGTTTTTCTCCAAATCCTGGGAGGATGTGTCCTGGCCGGAATTAGAATGGTTTACAACTAAATTGTAATTATGTTATCCTTAAAGTAACGATGTATTTAATTGTCTCGCGAGCACATTTTTGGCACATTATTATGCAGTGAACATCTCTGACACCAAATAAATTACGATAATCGATAAATTAAAATTAAGAATGCAAATCTTCAGACGAAGATTTTTTTGGTCACTCTTAAATTTCAACGATTACTAGAATGGGTACTTTTCTTTTGCAGGGTATTCGATGTTTTGGAAATGGTGAAATCCATAGACGCAGTGCACGAAAACGTTTTAAAGACACTTCTCATGTACATTTATTCGTTGTGCGTGGGCTTTGGCACATATATTACACGGTCGAAGGTAAATATATAATTCTATGATTAAACGAATTTATTGAATCTTGATATTTTCTTTGAGAGATATATGTGTATGTGTGTGGTTTTATTCTTCAAGATATAATCTTGATTATATCTTGATTTATTGAAGTTTGACTTTGTCTTTAGATTGGATTATATTCGCTATTTTGAATTTTCCTATTCTTTAACCTCAAAGACTTCTAAACTTCGAAATATTTTATTTATATGTAAATAAATACTATTTTTTCAGATACAAGCGTCATTTTTCCCTGAAGTGTCGGAACTCGAGAAGCAACTGACAGCGTTATCGGTAGACAAGAAAAATATGAATCTCACGTTGATTCCAAGTTACCTGGTGATTCTGAGCACTCTCGATTCCACGGATCTAATCGATTATTTCAAACAATTCCTTGTGATCTTGTCCTTGAGCGGTACTAGTATATCTTGGTTGCATGTCGCTGCCAGTATTTTGTGCGCTCGAGAAGAGATGCAGGAGCACGTACTTGTTAGTTTATGGGATGGTTTGTGATATTTTCGTTTCTATTATATTAATATCATAGTTATTATTAAAATGATTCATGCAAGTTGGAAAATAACGCTTAAATCAACGTAAAAAGTATAATAACACTATAAAATATTATTATATTCTTTTAAATTTTAAAAAATAACGACCCGTATTATAAATTCATTTTCTATTTAAATTTGTATCATACATATCTAATGTGTTAAATTTCTTTTAAATATATTTTTGTTAAAAATATGATACATATACTTTCTGTTACATTAAATAACAAAGTCTTAACATTCTTATTCCACATTTTTTCTCACAGGTGTGGTGCATCCGCGATCCAGTGTGAGATGCGCGACGGCAGCGCTATTCGGTTTAATCATAGCTCATGTCTCAGATCGACTCGCGAGCGCGAGGATTGTACCAGCCATCGTAACACTAGCCAGCGATCCCGAAGTGTGAGAATCTTTTTTATTTATGTTTGCATGTATCTGATAGCGTTCGATATTCCAAGTTCATTGGCTTTCAGAAAACATAATTACTCCGATATCGTTAAACATCTGTAAACGATGACCCTTAGTTCACCAACATTGTGTTCTTCGACTCCTATGTTACGATAATCGAATTAATTTTTTTTTCAGTGGTGTGCGCTGCGCAGCGATTTCTTCATTGGGTCGTATAATAACGGAATGCAAAGTAAGAGAAGCTCGTGACAAAGCACGATTGACATTGGAAACGATCGCAAAGGACCCTCAGGGATTTTCTCAAGCTCTGGCTACTTCATTGGTGTCCACGTTCGCGTTTATCGCGCCCAATTGTCCGCAGAATTATATAGAAGACAGTAAGTTACTCTGTAATATCTGTCTGTCACACGTATGAAATAATGAGTGCGGAATTTCTCTTTCTCTCACACATACATCCGTATATACCACGCATTACATTTCAATGACAAATGATGCATGTATCCCTGTTCACTTCTCCGCATCATTCTCGTTGGTTACTTTACGCCTACTTGGTCTTTACATTATACTGAGTTGTTGCTTTCGATTGCAGTAATAGCGACGCAATTATCGGCTATCGCCACATTCGCGCTTCAACAGAACCGCAAGATCGAATTGGTGAACACATTGGTGGAAGCGTACTCGGTGTTGGTTTATTGCCCGTTAAGTAGCCAATGCGTTTCTGGAGTAGTGGTGCCGGGACTGCGGCATCTCGAGACATTGGTGAATCAGTGCCTACCTCAGCAGAAGGATGCGGTGCGATCGCTGCTCAGGGAAACAGAATCCAGGCAGGATGTAGCGAAGCCGATCGAGAGGTATCGTGTAGAGGGAATTATTGTTATGAACGTCTCTCTTATCGGTCTTTCGTGAAACTGATTTGGACGTTCACAGGACACTTTCGATGAGTTCCGGGCTTTCCTTGTCCATGGCGACGGTGAACGTCGGCCAGGGTGTGGAAGACATGCGCCAGAGGATGAGCAAGATCTTTCAGCAGAAAACCGGGTCGCCCAGCATGTCTAGCATTTTTCGCAAAAAATAAACTTACCTCTGCGTTATAACGGTAAATTAAGGAAACTTAGTATTACTATCGTCGCGTCACGAGTGTCTCGTCGACTCCTCGTACAAAGATCAGCGAGAGACCAATCATGAAGTTATTGTTAGGATGTGAATGTTGTTTTAAAGGAAAGTTAACTTATTTTTTTATCGTGCTCTAGCTAGTAAGTAACATGTAAATTATTTTGTTTAAATGTCAAAACAACACGCTTCGGACGGAGGGAAAATACGAATTTTCACATTTTGTAAAAATCGATATCGATAATGTTAATCCCTTTTTCTTTCTCAACACATGTGCAACATGTTCGGTGTTTCCCCAAATTCATCCTTTTCCGACGATCCCCGACATGATCGATTTGTGTTAAGAGAAAAGCAAAAAAAAAAGATTCAACAAATACAGCGCTTAACAGTAATTAATGTTTAATTTTGAAATCTGTTACTTTACATAGTAATAAACAAACGTCATATTCATATCGTATGTCATATCGTATATATATATATATCGCGTATCATATATATATTTATATATAATACACAAGTGTTTTCCTCGTAAAGTAGTTACAAAATCAGACTTTCTAGGAATACACATCCTGTTGCTTTTTTGTCTTGCTCTCATTCGGTTCTGTTTCTTCATTTCTTGCTTTTTGTTTTGTTTTTTGTTTATTTTTATATAATCACAGCTTATATACCGATGTGTATGTGCGTCAACGAAACGTCATTATTGTGTTTCTTTCCACGGTCGGTCGATTAGTCGCGACACGACCGTTGTGTCGCGGGAGGGGGGGGAATACGCACACACAACGCATACTCGCATACTGCTCCGTAGGACTGTCGTCGCGGTCGTTTCGCTTTTACTTATTACCTTTCACACGGTGTAACTTTTGAAAAATCCTGTTGCGCGCGACATCGATGATAACAAAGGGATTTTCAGAATTACTTCGTGCAAGGATCCCGGTCTCTCAGAAACGGTAACGATGTGGAGGAAGATCCGTGAGGATTCGCGAAACAATCTCGTGAGGGGTCAGTGGTGATTTTTCGATAGCACCGTGACGTTCCAAGGACTCACTCAATTTGATCGGCGATAATCGCAAAGAGCCGCCTACCTAAACAGCGTGCAATTAGCCGTACGCAAAATTAAGATTAAATTAACGGATAAAGTACGCTTGCAATATCCTGTTATGTGTATATTTCTCTTGTTTCTCTTTTTTTTCGCACCGTTTCCCACCGTGACATTCCCTCGCTCTCCCAATTAGCATATTCGTAATTTATCGTAGATCAAATCCTTACACCAACCTTAATTACACCACGCTTTTTCATCTCCACGTATGTACACGTGTAATATCAAAAAGAAAAAAATATAAAGGACACGCGCGCCGCGTGTGTATGAAAAAAAGGCACACATGGAAAACGGAAAATCCCGTGTTAATTTAAAGGAAAATTGAACGAGGTCGTTTGTGTCGCTGAAATAGTATGTATGATTCTGCATCTGTTTGTTCTGTTTTTATGTTGTTGGATATATATGTACGTGTGTGTGTGTGTGTGTATACAATTGTCAGAAAGATTGTCCGGTTTCTTTTGTAACTTTCGGACGTATTCGTCTTGTCTAATGGAAAAAAATTGTTGGAGAAAATTTTCCTATTGAACAAGACAGATGCGTTTCGAAAGTCACAAAAAAAAAAATCGGACACCTTTACGACGCCGATTGTACGCACATGTGTATGAATGTATGTGTTTTTTGTGACAAGGCGCGCGATGCACGAATCGCTATTTTTTTGTCTTTACGTAAATTTTACAGAATCCGCGACGCGAAAGTTACAAATTGCAAATCGGGATCGCGCGACGCAACTGTGAATAACATCTCACACGGATCACGAATCGCAAAGTCGCGAATTGCATTACATACACGTACATCAACGTATGCAATTAACGCTTATGAAGCCTAAATTGTCCCGTGCTTATCATTATTATTATCACTATTATTATTATTAGTTGTAGTAGTAGTAATAGTAGTAATAGAGTAGTAGGGTAGTAGTGGTAATAGTAGTAGAGTCATAGTAGCAGTAGTAGTAGTAGCAGTAATAGTAATAGTAGTAGTAATAATAGTAGTAATATATATGCATATATAATATATACATTGAATATTTACTACAATCGTTGGAGAGTGACGGCGAAACGAGACTGCGTCCGGGAGATTCCGCGCGAATAGTTTGCCACACAAAAAGAAACAGAAAACACACACACATACACACACACATTATATATATATATATGTATGTATGTATGTATGTATGTATGTATCGTTTTGTGTGTTAATAAAATACGTTGTAGGACTCGCTTAGGAGCACCACGTGAGCGAATTGAGATCGATACAATTGCTCCACGATCCGGCGCTTCGCATTCGCCGATGATTGACGATCGATCGCTTTAGCGTTTGGTCTGGACATCTAAGAAACCGCTTCTTTCGAATACACATCGGATATTACATCGAGAACAGCCACAAGTGCGGGATACTTCCGCGGACGAAATTTACAACGAGTGATTTCGAGAAAATCGCGCAATGCGCGAAAGACGTTTCTGGTGTAGCCCTATTCTCTGCAATTTCGTATAATCGCGCCGATTTTGCGAGCTGATTACACACACCGTCAAGATTCTTACATTAAAAATTTCGTATTTCTTGCGCAATAACGTTACATCGTTATTTCGAATTGATTCCAAGTGTTTCGGTCGCATATGTTAGAGTTACATGCATATTAGTATTGAGTATATTTGAATTTTTTACACTTCTTGAGTGTCTCTCAGTGTTAAACATGTTGGATTTTGACATTAAAAGCGAGAAGTCACGTATGATTTTTACAGTTTACGTGTGACTTCAACTCTCCGATGTCACAATCTGACATGATTACTGTAAGGTGCCAAGAATCTCGAATTTCTAGCCTCTCAATGCGATGATATTAGATTTTGATTGCGAAAGAAACTGTACTTTACACAATAATCTACTCTCTACTCGATAATATATTTTTGTTTACACAATATTCTCTACACACATTGTCATTATCGGAGCTGGTAAATTTTAGGAGGATCCCGGACCTCTCAGTTCCAATTGTCCGACAAATCGTTTATTTCAATTGGGTCCAACAATAAAAATCACAAGGAGATCCAAGAGAATACAAGCCGATCCACGAATATGAAAACCATTCAACGATCAACACTCCACAACTCGCAAAGTCAACTCCGCAGACTCGAAGAAACTGCAAGAATCCAAGAGAACATCTTTCAAGCGCGATTGTCTGAGAGTCAATTTTACGTATCCGATATATCGTTTATTTGATTTATTCAACTCAATATTAACAAAAACAACTGACAATCCTATTTTGAAACGCCCTGTTTTGTCTGTTGTGTGTACGTGTATATGTATGCGTGTATGTGTGTGTACAATAGACTAATGAAAAGGCAGCATCAATAAGTTCAAAGTATAGTAGTATACACGTTGACACAACATTATCCTGTTGCACCCTGTTTACAGGAGGTCGTTTTCGTCTTTCTTTTGTTTCTTTCCCCTTTTTGCATTATATTTTATCAATTTTCTCTCTTTCTCTCTCTCTCTCTCTCTTTCTCTCGAGCTCGCGCGCGCACACGTATAATCATTAACAAATATATATGCGCTCAGATACACACGCACACACACACACACAACGCGCACATACACACACCCACACACACGCACCTTCGTTTTTTTTTCGTCTTTCTTTTTTCGCTATATGTATCTGTGTATGTATATATGTATGTGTATGTGTGTGTAGGTACATATATTCGCGTCGTTATTAACACCTAAAGCCAAGCATCTCTGCTTATAATAATAATAAAATAATGACGATAATCATATAATAGAGCAATTAATAGTTATTAATAATATTAATATTGATAAATCGGTAATCATAATATACAACACACTCGAGGCACTTAAATGCGTGCTCAATTAATCGTCCCGATTCTCGCAGCACTAGCTCCGACCCAAATTGGTTGGTATACTTTTTTTTTTCTTTCTTTTTCTTTTGAATCACCCGTACATACGTTTCCTCTCATACGTCTTCCTTGCCGAATTAAAATGTAATTCTAGGGTTCTTAAACACGCTTCATTAGTTGGAGAGGATCGATAAGTAAGAAAGTAAGATCCGATTCGCGCGGCGAAAGATCGAAGTATGGGCGGTTTCGCTTAGAACAGAGGGTGGGACGACGCGTCGACGAGTTTCGCGAGGAGGAACCGGAAGTGGATCGAAGTTGGACGACGCTTCGTTGGCCGATCGTCCACGATAACCGTGACGGAAATGTGTTTCGGTGTGTTGTGTTGTTTCGCGGCGCGTAATCGCAGCGAACGAGACGGAAGAGCACGGAATCGCGGTGTGAAGGATCGGAGAGAGCAAGGGAACGATAAAATTATAAAAAAAAATGCTCTCCCCCAGGACAAGGGAGTTGTCCGAGGTATGTCGACAAACGAGAAACTGAAACCGCCTCTCGGAGAATCCCGATTTGTCCCGGGATAGGCGGAGAATCGGTGAACGAAAATCGCAATGATCGAGTCGGGGAGGATCATCCTCAGCACGATCGTCGCAATTTCTTTCCTTTTTTTTTCTTTTCAGGATAATGAAGAGGTGGAATCGCGCGAAAGGATCGAAGAGACGGAGGGAATGGAATTATCTCTGGAAACTACGCACAAATGCTAAGAGACTTGTCTCGGGCTAATATTTCATTTGTCGCACGGCACAAGTCCTCATACATAGAATTGGCTATCGCAGGGGGAACCTCTGCAGCGCCGAGGTGATCTCATCGCCCTCGGTGCTCCAGAGACTCCCCGTCGGACAAACTGAAGATTAGTCTAAGGAAAGCTCGAAAGCTTTGGGTCTTTTAGATCGCTCGAACCGCGAAGGATCACGAAGGCGGAAACCGCGACGAGAGAGTACGAAGCGTGATGACTCGCGGGAGCGGGTCCCGTGAGTCCTGGCGTTCGACAATCGAGTCAACAAGTTCGTCTTAAATTAGCGAACCGTTGGATCCGACGTGGACTCGATGAGTCGAGGAGTGATCGTAATAAATGGCACAAGCGCCTACGCGAAAAATACAAATTGCTGAGACGTTGCAACGTAAATGTACTCATCTTCTTTTTGTGAAAATTGATATACAATGTATAACGTAAACGCGTCTAAGAGACCTCCGGTAACTCTTCTCTCTAGGGGAGAGAGGGGGAGAGAGAGAGAAAGAGAGAGATTACATAAGAAATAAAAAATAATTCGCGATGGATAAAACTAAAACTACTGGTTTCCTACAGTTACCAGATGGTTCTCTTTGAAAAAATAAAAAGAAAAACAATGGGATTCTCTCAATCCGACATTCGCAAATTCTCGCATGATTACTCCTCGACCTCGTCGCCTTCGTTTCGGTTTCGCCGCCGCCGTCGTTTTCCTCCGCGACAACGCTCAAATCCTACGTATGTGTACTCACTCGCAAATCCGAATTTGCGTCTTTCCCTACCGTCCTCCTCCCTCACTTCTTTCTCATCGTCGTCGTCGTCGTTGTCATCATCATTATCATCATCATCGTTATCATCATTCTCCTCTTACTCATCATCATTATCATCATCATCATTATCATCACCATCACCATCATTATCATCATACGTTATCGCTAACCACCGTTTCCGAGATACGATCTCTTCGTCCTCCGATTATCCTGAACTTTCTCTAAGGGGTCGGAGGGTAGCGGGCGTGTGAAAGGGGGGAAATTTTACGGAGAGAGGGAGGGACATTCCACCGCTTTCCACATGGCGAGAGTCTCGATTCGGTGCCAAGTCTGCTTCGTTGCATTATCTCGGGAGATTTCGTCAAGAGATGTGTTCTTTCTCTCCTTTTTTTTTGTTTTTGGCACAAGTATATGTATACATATAGACATGTTTTTCTTTCCCGGTTACATTGCGGTCCTGTGCGTGAAGGAGGGGCGGAGGAAAAGGTCTTCTTCCTTTTAAAAGATTAATTATCTTATCTCTTTAACGTTTTTACAGGCTAACAAATATGTACCTCCAAAATCACAGAACCAAAAGCGATATTATATAACAATATTTTCTCCCCTTTGCGCGATGTGTACCGGGTGATCGGGAAGCCACGCAACCGGCTCCGTGCATCGTCGAGAGAAAGCTCGCATTCGGTAGGATGCGGCACCAGTTTCACACATAGCAAATATATCTCCCGTCCGCGTGTATATTCGACTCTCTTTTTCTCTTTCTTTCTTTCTCTCTCTCTCCCTTCCTATATCGATATCGATTAATGTTAAACGTCAGCTTTATACGATCCACAGCGATCAATGTAGAATTACTTAATTCCGAGCGATTATGTATCTCGTGTATATATATATATATATACATATATATATATACACACATATATATATATATATATATATATGTATTTATATATATATAGTCATGTACAATATATCGCGTATTTGAACTTTTGGATTCATAGATCCTTAGATCTATACATACTCGTTATTAGCTCAGTATCCCTAACTTACCAATTACCGACGACATCTTAAAACTAAAGCTTGGCTTATTAGATACTCGAAGCTGCGTATTCATATCGAAGCTCGTAGGGCTTTTAAATCGATAAATTGTTACTTATCCTCGCGTCTCGCAAAGCCTCGTCAATTCTCAACGACGGGTCTACTCGAGTATCCACTCGAGAGAGTTCGCGAATCCCCGAATTACTCAATTTCACATACATCTTCTGCTTCAAATGGAACTGAATTGAAGATGTCGATGCTTTATTCTATCACTTCCCGCGCGATGTGATTCCAGACCGCGAATGCTTCGATATCCTTGGAGTTTCTCAAGCCCTTATAAAAATTCTCGTGTCCTTGAATCATATAAACTACGATCGACGAATTGCAAACGTAAAACGTCGGGACAGCTCGTGTCGACCGACATCGACAATATATCGATCGTGCGTCTGCCGCGGCGAACGCGTCTCGCTCCACGGGACTCTCCGATCACCCTGTATTAATTAACGGCGCCAGCGAATGCGTCGCTATAGCGCACGCGGCGAGTCTCACACGTTCACACACGCGAGCACGCACACAAATGGAGCGCACGTGCGTCCATACGCACGTCGTACGCACTCTCGTGCACACACCGCGCGCGCGCACACACATACGCACACACATACGCACATGCAAACATTCTCTCCTCTTTCTCTCTCTCTCTTAATCGATCCGTCGATCGATCGATCGTTGATCGTAGGCGAGACGTCACTGTACAATGTAAAAAGTTCTTTTTCCGCGCCCACAGCGCGTGACGGCTTTTCCGAGAGGAGTGCCGGGGTGAAGATGAAGAGGATGGTAGTGTAAGCAGCGGCGAGCTCCGGGCTTCGATATCATCCGTGATCCGACCTCGAGGAGATGACGATGACGTAGTAGCACAACGGCTGAATATCGTTGTTACCCTGTCGTCGCGTGGTAACGTCCGCAGAGGCGTCTTGCTTCGCGATATCTAAAGCCGAATCCGCCGCGCGTCTTCCGTCGTCACCTTCAGAGAGCAAGCAGACAGAAGATGTTCTTTTAAACAACTTCGTAGACAAGTTTTACGAGGAAGAAAACACTTCGCGACACTTTCTCAAACGGCATACGCAACGATTCTCTCTCTTTCGATGGCACCGACTATGCATCGGCTCGATAATCAGACTCTATAAAAGAGAATGTTTAAAGTAATCTTAGGACGTGTGTAGATAGAACCTAGCACGATTGAAAGTACTCATTGAGTACATCAAAAGTTGCAACTGCACCGTCAATGAGAAACACTACAGTCTTGAGGCATTTGTTTTTATGTATTATCACTGTCGAAAGAGAATGCATTATTACTGATTAAAAATACGATATAATCGGATAATAAAGTTAGTGTCGAATAAATATATAATAGAGTATAAAATAATTATTCATTTTCTCGTCGCCCGACTTAGAGAGGACTCTTCATTTATACGAGTAAATTTTTTTCCAATGACTGTGGAGTAGGTCAGATTCACTCGTTCAATCTCGAATAAAAGTACTCACTCCAAGATTTCAAGTGGAAGAAATCATTCAATATCGACGAAGAGTTACTTGAAGAAACTTACAGAAGCAATTTCATATTCTTAAGATACCTGACAATTTTCAAAGATTCGAGATTCTAAACTAACCCGGTTTAAGAATACGAGAATACAGTAATGGGATAAAAAATCCATTTTGAAATTCTAGAGACTTGAAAGAGTCCAGTAAAATATAAGTTGCTATACACACAATTGTTTGCTGTAAGAGGAATTTCAGTACTGAATTTTGTGTAACTAAATAGAAATCAGATGAAAAACTCGCTGACGAGAAATAATATCTCTGTTATTGTGACCGAAAACATTCAACTGTCTTAAAACTCGGTTGAGATAACTGAGAGCAATTGACTGAGTAGAAACTTCCTACAGAAATCTTTCTGTTCCTACAACCAAGTTTACGTTTGGTCCCCAGGCAATAGAAAACTCAGTTACACTAACGGAGTTGTGTTTTTCCTGTATGGAACATTTCATTTCCTTCAGAGTATCCGTGTTCCATCACTACTATATCCTTCTTTTCAGCAATATATACTTTTGAATTAGTTAGAATTCGTTTTTCTTTGATATCCTATATATATATATATATATAAAATCTTACATCGCGTCATTTTAAAGTTTTATTAGAGAAAGATCTATTGCACTATTAAATCCATTATATAGAAGATATTTTGGATATTTCGTAGCGTGTGTTGTACACGCTACGAAATCATAGCAATCTTATAGACAAAAGCTTTTATTTCGTCCTAGGACATTCTCTTCAGAAACGTTATACTGGGAAAACACAGAAATAAAAATAAAACCAAAATAAAAAAAAAAGAGATAGAGTGAAGACTTTTGTGTCATCGTTTGAGGAAATAGAATACTCACATGTCGCTTTTAAACGTTTCTGTCCCTCTCGTCCGTTTTGTGTTTTGTACAAGGTAGCTCGCGGCAATGTTGCGCTACTTGGGCATAACTCGGCCTTGTAAGATCCTACGGTAAAGAAAACATTCATTGGTTTTCTGGATTTTAAACATCTTGAGAAACTTAATGTCATATGAAATGTAAGAATCGCTATAAACAGAATAACGCAAAGTTCTAAGTCAGAACTCATAGGAGTATTTGAAGTACTTTTGAAATTTCACAAGTCATCGAGTAGCTTTTAGGGAGCTTATTATGGTTTTGTGTGAGAAGTGAAAATGCGCAAAATGAACAAATTCACTAGATATTGACCAATGAAATTATAAATATTCCCAGAACTCGTATATCTCTAATCTAAGGATTATTGATTATATTGAATGAGAACACTTCGAACTGGTGTAATGCGACTCAATATTTATACGATTCTTAATCTCTTTAGCTTCCTAATAACATTAATATTCCTTCATTCTTATACAACATCCTCGGTTCATGAAATCTTTAGACTCTCAAATTCTTAGACTGTCAGAGATTCAGGTACATACTTGCTAGAGTACATTCTCCTACATCCTACATCCCACATTCTCAGATAAAGTCCTAATTAATCGGAGATTTGGCAAGATCCAATAGAATATCATTACATTACAAACATGATAATACAAATATAATGACAATGATATAATAAATAACAAGAACAATATGAATAGAAGTACAGTAGTATACTCACTATAGGGAAGGTAGAGGCCACTCCAGTTTGCGATTGGGAGTTGAGTGAGGCAGTAGGAGAAGGAACGACGACGACGACGTTGTTACAATCGCACCTGGTCACCGGCTCGGCTTCGTCTGTCACGGCCACTGCCGCCGCCGCCGCCGCCGCTGCTGCTGCTGCTGCTGCTGCTGCCGCTGCCGCCACCGCTGCTGCCGTCGTCGTAGCCGCCGTTGTCGTTGCCATCGTCGACGTCACCACTGCCGGCATGTGCGCGTTCGCATCTACAGCGTCGTCCACACCGTTCACCATGTTCGAGTCGTCAGTCTTTATCGATCTGTCAGCGGTGCATTGTCAGTAGTAAGGGACTAACACATGCTTACTTAATTATCCTTGGATCCTCAGATATCCTGCGATAGATCCCTCGGATCCTTAGGAACAAATACATCCTCGTATCCTTGGACAGTTTTGTCCTCGGATACGGGTATTATACATTTGGATGCACATTTGGTTACAATATAAATACACGTGAGATATCCCGATGTATTTATAGTTACTTCAAAGTCCACGTGCGTCTGCACGACGCGAGATTTCATTTACTCTTTTTTTTTTTAGTTCTCTCTTAACTTTTGAATCCTTAGATCCTCGGACAGAGCTAGGACCGTGTGTGTCCGTTCGAGAGCATGCGCGCGTTTAAACACAAGGAGAAATTTGCACAGACACCGTAATCTAATACTCGCACTGCGACAATTAGCGCTAGATACTGGTTAACAAAGTTCACATAAGTGTTTCGTAATAAAAAAAAAAGAAAAAAAAAGAAAAATGTGATCTTAGCGGTTAAAAATAGATGATACTCGGGGTCAGATTTAACGCTACAAGCGCGACGATACTACAAGAGTCACGACGAGCACCATCATCGCATGCTAAATGCATACTATATAACCGTTATATCCCGCACCGCCTGTCAACTTCGTTCATGCACAATCAAGAGACTAGTTTCTGTGGGCGATTCTCGGTCAAACGTGTTAGCAACATTCTTGAGAATTTCCAAGTGCCGATAACATCATCGGAAAATCTCGACTTAATTGAAATCATGAATCGCAAAATTAAAAAA